GAGTCCCATACAGGATAAATTCAAGGAGAAATACACCAAGACACATAGTAATCAAACTGTCAAAAATTAAATACAAAGAAAACATATTAAAAGCAGCAAGGGAAAAACAACAAATAACACACAAGGGAATCCCCATAAGGTTAACAGCTGATCTTTCAGCAGAAACTCTGCAAGCCAGAAGGGACTGGCAGGACATATTTAAAGTGATGAAGGAGAAAAACCTACAACTAAGATTACTCTACCCTGCAAGGACCTCATTCAGATTTGATGGAGAAATTTAAACCTTTACAGACAAGCAAAAGCTGAGAGAGTTCAGCACCACCAAACCAGCTTTACAACAAATGCTAAAGGAACTTCTCTAAGCAAGAAACACAAGAGAAGGAAAAGACCTACAATAACGAACCCAAAACAATTAAGAAAATGGGAATAGGAACATACATATCGATAATGACCGTAAATGTAAATGGACTAAATGCTCCCACCAAAAGACTCAGACTGGCTGAATGGATACAAAAACAAGACGCTGTCTACAAGAGACCCAGATGGACTAAATGCTCCCACCAAAAGACTCAGACTGGCTGAATGGATACAAAAAAAAGACGCTGTCTACAAGAGACCCAGTTCAGACCTAGAGACACATACAGACTGAAAGTAAGGGGATGAAAAAAGATATTCCATGCAAATGGAAACCAAAAGAAAGCTGGAGTAGCAATTCTCATATCAGACAAAATAGACTTTAAAATAAGGACTATCAGAAGAGACAAAGAAGGACACTACATAATGATTAAGGGATCGATCCAAGAAGAAGATATAACAATTGTAAATATTTATGCACCCAACATAGGAGCACCTCAATACATAAGGCAAAAACTAGCAGCCATAAAAGGGGAAATCGACAGTAACACATTCATAGTAGGGGACTTCAACACCCCACTTTCACCAATGGACAGATCATCCAAAATGAAAATAAATAAGGAAACACAAGCTTTAAATGATACATTAAACAGGATGGACTTAATTGATATTTATAGGACACTCCATCCAAAAACAACAGAATACACATTTTTCTCAAGTGCTCATGGAACATTCTCCAGGATAGATCATATCTTGGGTCACAAATCAAGCCTTGGTAAATTTAAGAAAATTGAAATTATATCAAGTATCTTTTCCGACCACAACGCCATGAGACTAGATATCAATTATAGGAAAAGAGCAGTAAAAAATACAAACACATGGAGGCTAAACAATACACTACTTAATAACGAAGTGATCACTGAAGAAATCAAAGAGGAAATTAAAAAATACCTAGAAACAAATGACAATGGAGATACAACGACCCAAAACCTATGGGATGCAGCAAAAGCAGTTCTAAGAGGGAAGTTTATAGCAATACAAGCCCACCTTAAGAAGCAGGAAACATCTCGAATAAACAACCTAACCTTGCACCTCAAGCAATTAGAGAAAGAAGAACAAAAAAACCCCAGAGTTAGCAGAAGGAAAGAAATCATAAAAATCAGATCAGAAATAAATGAAAAAGAAATGAAGGAAACAATAGCAAAGATCAATAAAACTAAAAGCTGGTTCTTTGAGAAGATTAACAAAATTGATAAACCATTAGCCAGACTCATCAAGAAAATAAGGGAGAAGACTCAAATCAATAGAATCAGAAATGAAAAAGGAGAAGTAACAACTGACACTGCAGAAATACAAAAAATCATGAGGGATTACTACAAGCAACTCTATGCCAATAAAATGGACAATCTGGAAGAAATGGACAAATTCTTAGAAATGCACAAACTGCCAAGACTGAATCAGGAAGAAATAGAAAATATGAACAGACCAATCACAAACACTGAAATTGAAACTGTGATTAAAAATCTTCCAACAAACAAAAGCCCAGGACCAGATGGCTTCACAGGCGAATTCTATCAAACATTTAGAGAAGAGCTAACACCTATCCTTCTCAAACTCTTCCAAAATATAGCAGAGGGAGGAACACTCCCAAACTCATTCTACGAGGCCACCATCACCTTGATACCAAAACCAGACAAGGATGTCACAAAGAAAGAAAACTACAGGCCAATATCACTGATGAACATAGATGCAAAAATCCTCAACAAAATACTAGCAAACAGAATCCAACAGCACATTAAAAGGATCATACACCATGATCAAGTGGGGTTTATTCCAGGAATGCAAGGATTCTTCAATATACGCAAATCTATCAATGTGATTAACCATATTAACAAATTGAAGGAGAAAAACCATATGATCATCTCAATAGATGCAGAGAAAGCTTTTGACAAAATTCAACACCGATTTATGACAAAAACCCTGCAGAAAGTAGGCATAGAGGGAACTTTCCTCAACATAATAAAGGTCATATATGACAAACTCACAGCCAACATCATCCTCAATGGTGAAAAACTGAAAGCATTTCCACTAAGATCAGGAACAAGACAAGTTTTTCCACTCTCACCACTCTTATTCAACATAGTTTTGGAAGTTTTAGCCACAGTGATCAGAGAAGAAAAGGAAATAAAAGGAATCCAAATCGGAAACGGAGAAGTAAAGCTGTCACTGTTTGCAGATAACATGATACTATACATAGAGCATCCTAAAGATGCTACCAGAAAACTACTAGAGCTAATCAATGAACTTGGTAAAGTAGCAGGATACAAAATTAATGCACAGAAATCTCTGGCATTCCTATACACTAATGATGAAAAATCTGAAAGTGAAATCAAGAAAACACTCCCATTTACCACTGCAACAAAAGAATAAAATATCTAGGAGTAAATCTACCTAAGGAGACAAAAGACCTGTATGCAGAAAATTATAAGACACTGATGAAAGAAGTAAAGATGATACAAATAGATGGAGAGATATACCATGTTCTTAGATTGGAAGAATCAACATTGTGAAAATGACTCTACTACCCAAAGCAATCTACAGATTCAATGCAATCCCTATCAAACTACCACTGGCATTTTTCACAGAACTAGAACAAAAAATTTCACAATTTGTATGGAAACACAAAAGACCCCCAAATAGCCAAAGCAATCTTGAGAATGAAAAACGGAGCTGGAGGAATCAGGCTCCCTGATTTCAGACTATACTACAAAGCTACAGTAATCAAGACAGTATGGTACTGGCACAAAAACAGAAAGATAGATCAATGGAACAGGATAGAAAGCCCAGAGATAAACCCACGCACATATGGTCACCTTATCTTTGATAAAGGAGGCAGGAATGTACAGTGGAGAAAGGACAGCCTCTTCAATAAGTGGTGCTGGGAAAACTGGACAGGTACATGTAAAAGTAGATTAGATCACTCCCTAACACCATACACAAAAATAAGCTCAAAATGAATTAAGACCTAAATGTAAAGCCAGAAACTATCAAACTCTTAGAGGAAAACATAGGCAGAACCCTCTATGACATAAATCACAGCAAGATCCTTTTTGAGCCACCTCCTAGAGAAATGGAAATAAAAACAAAAATAAACAAAGGGGACCTAATGAAACTTAAAAGCTTTTGCACAGCAAAGGAAACCATAAACAAGACCAAAAGACAACCCTCAGAATGGGAGAAAATATTTGCAAATGAAGCAGCTGACAAAGGATTAATCTCCAAAATTTATAAGCAGCTCATGCAGCTCAATAACAAAAAAACAAACAACCTAATCCAAAAATGGGCAGAAGACCTAAATAGACATTTCTCCAAAGAAGATATACAGACTGCCAACAAACACATGAAAGAATGCTCAACATCATTAATCATTAGAGAAATGCAAATTAAAACTACAATGAGATATCATCTCACACCAGTCAGAATGGACATCATCAAAAAATCTACAAACAATAAATGCTGGAGATGGTGTGGAGAAAAGGGAACACTCTTGCACTGCTGGTGGGAATGTGAATTGGTTCAGCCACTATGGAGAACAGTATGGAGGTGCCTTAAAAAACTAAAAATAGAACTACCATATGACCCAGCAATGAACATTGTAAATGTTCATTGCAGCTCTATTTACAATAGCCCGGAGATGGAAACAACCTAACTGTCCATCATCGGATGAATGGATAAAGAAGATGTGGCACATATATACAATGGAATATTACTCAGCCATAAAAAGAAACGAAATTGGCTATTTGTAATGAGGTGGATGGACCTAGAGTCTGTCATACAGAGTGAAGTAAGTCAGGAAGAGAAAGACAAATACCATATGCTAACACATATATATGGAATTGAAGAAAAAAAAATGTCATGAAGAACCTAGGGGTAAGACAGGAATAAAGACACAGACCTACTAGAGAATGGACTTGAGAATATGGGGAGGGGGAAGGGTAAGCTGTGACAAAGCAAGAGAGAGGAATGGACATATACACACTACCAAATGTAAGGCAGAAAGGTAGTGGAAAGCAGCCGCATAGTACAGGGAGATCAGCTCGGTGCTTTGTGACCACCTGGAAGGGTGGGATAGGGAGGGTGGGAGGGAGGGAGATGCAAGAGGGAAGAGATATGGGAACATATGTATATGTATAACTGATTCACTTTGTTATAAAGCAGAAAATAACACACCATTGTAAAGCAATTATACTCTAATAAAGATGTAAAAAAAAAACAAAAAAACCCGTGTGCCACAACTACTGAGCCTGTGCTCTACAGCCTGTGAGCCACAACTACTGAGCCCTCATGCCACAACTACTGAAGCCTGCTCACCTAGAGCCCATGCTCCACATAAAAGAAGCCACAGCAATGGGAAGCATGTGCACTGCACTGAAAAGTAGTCCCCACTCACCACAACTAGAGAAAGCCTACACGCAGCAACAAAGTCCCAACACAGCCAAAAATAAATGAAGGTAGAAATTATAAGAGACTGAGAAGGGACTTCATAGAAATTACATGAAGTTTCTTAAAAGATAGATTTGAGTTTACTGAATGTCAACTGATATTCTATAGAACATATTCTAAATTATGTAAACAGCTAAATTTACCCAGTGAGACCAAGTTGCTGTAATTTTCCATCATCACGTCCCAGTACAAGTCCCTCTGAGCAGAATCCAGATACTCCCATTCCTCCTGAGAGAAGCTGATGACCACATCCCTGAATGTCACCAATTCCTGAAACAACAAACCACATAAGTAAAATTAAAGGAAACATTTTTGAGTAAAAGATAAGAAATAAAGAGTTGAATTAAACTATTTTATATAGAATGGATAAACAACAAGGGACTACTGTATAGCACAGGGAACTATATTCAATATCCTGTAATAAACCATAATGGAAAAGAATATGAAAAAGAATATATATCTGTATAACTGAATCACTTTGCTGTACAACAAAAATTAACACAACATTGTAAATCAACTATACTTCAATAATATAAATTTTTAAAAAAAGAAAAAAGAATTGCATTACAGGAAGGGGTCTAATAGTAAGTACATCGGCCAGGGGTAGAAGCCTATGGTATGGGAAGTAAGGGAATTAATGCTTCCAAACCAGACTATCTACAGATGTTTAAAGAATCCTTCTGATTCAGAGAAATCTTCCTGCATGCTATGGGATTTCTTAGCTAAGCACGTCTGGAAATAAACAAAATGAACGTATTATCAATAATAGTGAATTTCTACATCCTCGTTCCTCTGTAAAGGAAAAATATCTAGCTTAGAAAATGGGATATGAAAAATATTTTAAAATTTCTTACAACACCAAGTTCATCACTGTTAATCACCATTTCACATTATATAAGAATTATAACTTCTAATGAAAAATTATTTATTAAATGCTTTTTAGTGGCTACAGAGTAGTCTGCTTGGAGGAAATATATCAGCCTTAATTATATTTAGACATATAAGTTGGATAAGATCTCCTCCAATTCTGAAATCTACAGTAATCTATTTATGTCTGATTGAGACTAGTCAACATCAAATCCAGTCTACCTGGAAAAATAGGTCTGTTCAGAAGTACAGACTTTGCCCATATGTCATCAAATGGATCCATTTGCTCTTTTTCTCTACCCAAGAGTATGAAAAAGGCTGGTAAATGCCTCCATATAGGGATTCCATTTCTACCCTATAGCTGCTCTGAACAAAACACTGAACACATAGGATGTTGAACATTATTTGGAGGATAGGCACATAGGAGGTACAGTGTGCTGTTTGACTCCAACTCTCACTAGAAAGTGAAAATGGGGATTTTTATGGGGATGTGGGGTAGGCTCTTAGGGCTGCTTTCTGGGAAGATTCAGACAAATGAAATGTTCACAAAGGAGAGAGAAATAGCAACTTACACGGTCCATGGTTAGAACTGTAAAGAATTGATCAGGGAATTCCACTTCTGGTATGACAGCATGAGGAGCTCCACCGACATGCTCCCCATTGAAACTGGTAAAAATTATATATAAAAACATAGAGCAAATGAAGAAACATTTGTAAATCTACTAAAACTTATTAAGAACTGTGAAAGTCTGCAGTATCTTAATTTAACCTGCACCCTTCCTTGTCCATCCCATCCTAGTGAGAAAAAGATTCCACTGCAAACTAGTACAGCCAAGGACACAAACTTCCTCACCACTCATGTCCTGTTCCCAGTCAGATAACTATCTTCCTGGGAGGAGTAGAACATCAGCATTTCTCATTCTGCCCCCAGCTACCTGTTGCTCAGGCAAATGCAACAAAGGAATGGAGATTTTCTTCTGCCTAGTAGCCACACAAGAATTGTAGGTTGTACCATGGGTGTGGCACTGCTGAGAATACTGGGGTTCCAACTGTCTTTGCCTTGGCTCATAGGGCAGGAGTTCCATGCCACAAGAGGCAAGTTGAGACCTAGGACTGCTGCCCAATCCCCTCCACGGCCCTTTCCAAAGGAACTGCCTTCATTTGCAACAGAGTGTGAAGAAGTTCAAGGGTAAGGACATTCTCAAAAACACTGGAAATTTTCGTGAAAGGCTATTGGGAGAATATTGAAAAATTCATTGGAGATAAATACTAAACTGTAGGCTGGCTAGTTTGTCAGAAAGGATCAGAGAAAGATACTTGGGGAGCCCTTCATATTGTCAGAACAAATCTCAGACATTGACTTGATTTCATTAGTCTGCGAAGCAGTGTAACCCCACAGCATTACTGAAAACAATAGTGCTATCAGTCACAATCAGTGGATCCTAACAGCTTGGTGTGGTCAGGTAAAGAGACACTCAAAGACAGCCCTGTCAAAACCACTGTCATCTAAGGGTAACTGTGGTAATAGCAAAGTCTATACCCCAAGGAGCAACATCAGAGATTTACACTATGGGGGAGATAGATTTCACTTCATTAATCTAGCCAGTCACTAAACAAGAAAGCAAATAACAATAACAGGCCTGGGGAGAAGAAGGAGACAAAAGTACCAGAGTTACAACAGCTATCTAAAATATCTACTTTCCACAACAAGAGACAGGTGAAGAAATAGGAAAATATAACCCATAAACCAAAAACGCTAAAGCCAAAACCAAACAGACAACAGAAACTGCCTGTGAGAAAGTAACCAGATTTAACAAAGACTTCAAAGTAGCCGTTATAAATATGTTCAATACACAAAGGAACCCATGCTTAAAGTAAATGAAGGTATGATCACAATGTCATATCAAATAAAGAATCAGTGAAGAGATAGAAGTTATTTAATATCACCAGATGGAAATTCTGGAGTTGAAAAGTATTAACTAAAATGAAAATTTCACTAGAGTAACTCAACTGCAGATGTGAACTGGGCAGAAAAAAAAGTACTAGAAAACTTAAAGATAACGTGACAGAGATCATGCAATCTGAAGAACAAAGGAAGAAAAATGAAAAGAGCATCAGAGAAATGTTGGACGCCATTAAGCATACACCTGTAATAAGCGTAACAGAAAAGAGGAAAGGCACATTTTAATATATTCAAATAAACAATGGATGAAAAGTTCCCAGGACTTCTCTGGTGGTCCAGTGGTAAAGAATCTGCCTTCCAATGCAGGGGACATGGGTTTGAGCCCTGGTCTGGGAAGATCCCACGTGCCGTGGAGCAACTAAGCCCGTACGCCACAACCACTGAGCCTGTGCTCTAGAGCCCGCGAGCCACAAGTACTGAAGCCCGCACACCTAGAACCCGTGCTCCGCAACAAGAGAAGCCACTGCAATGAGAAGGCTGCGCACTGCAACAAAGAGTAGCCCCTACTCGCCGCAACTAGAGAAAGCCTGCACGCAGCAACAAAAGACCAAGTGCAGCCAAAAATAAATAAAAATTTTTTTTAAAAATCAACTGTATAAAGTAATTCATATATATGTATACACATACATAAATATTATATACATGGGCTTCCCTGGTGTCGCAGTGGTTGAGAGTCCACCTGCCGATGCAGGGGACACGGGTTCGTGCCCTGGTCTGGGAAGATTCCACGTGCCGCGGAGAGGCTGGGCCCGTGAGCCACGGCCACTGAGCCTGCGCATCCGGAGCCTGTGCTCCGCAGCGGGAAAGGCCACAACAGTGAGAGGCCCACGTACCGCAAAAAAAAATAATAATAATAAATTATATACATATATATACACACACATAACATGTATTATTGGGCCTGCAACATATATAAATGTAGTATGTTCGACAATAATAACACAAAGGAGATAGGTAGAAGAAAAGCTTCATTGGGCAAAGGAAATGAATCCAGATGGTAATCTGAATCCACAGGTTCAAATAAACAGAATGAAAAGTGATAAACAGGATTAATATAACAAAGCTACATATCATCTATAGCTGTTTATGTGCTACAGCGGTAGAGTTGAGTAGGTGTGACAGAGACTGTGTAATCCACAAAGCCTAAAATATTTAATATCTGTCCTTTACAGAAAAAAAAGACTTGTTAACCCCTACTGTAGAAGTTAATTTATGCATTTTTCACCTGTTAAAACTGTAAACCCCTTGTTGTTGAGTGTAAACTATTTCAGTTACTTTGGGCAACTATTTGACACAATCTACTAAAAAAACATATATACTGTGACTTAGCAATTCCACTCTTGTGTATATGCCCAATAGAAATGAGTTTTTCCATCGAAAAAGTATGTAAAAGAATTATTTTAGCTGCATTTCTTTATACTGTCCTGAAACTGTTAACAACCCAAACATCCATCAACAGAAGTAGGGAAAAGTTAAATGAGATACATTCCTATAGTGGAAGATTACTTAAGAATAAAACCGAACAAACAGCGATGATTTTCATAAACATGAGGTTGAGCAAAAGAGGGCAGAAAAAAATGTACAAAATGGGGACTTCCCTGGCTGTCCAGTAGTTAAGACTCTGTGTTTCCACTGCAGGGGGCGCAGGTTCGATCCCTAGTTGGGAAACTAAGATCCCACATGCCATACAGCACAGCAAAAAAAAAAAAAAAAAGTACATAATGTACGATTCCATTTATATGAACTTCCAAATTAGTTAAAACTTATCTATTGTAATAGTGAAAAGAATATTGTTTACCTTTGTTGGGGGTAAAGGCAAATTGGTAATGACTGGAAGGAAACAGAAGGGAGCATCCTGGAGTGTTGGAAATATGCTGTATCTTAGCTGTGTAATGGTTTCATAGATATACATAAATGTTAAAAACAATCCAGCTTTAGAATATGGTTTGTATAGTTTACATTAAGTTACGTCTCAGAAAAAAACCAAACCCACAATGTGGCAGAGCTGAGTTTTGAACTCATATTCCTCTTACTACAAAGCCAGTTCTAACTCTGGTTCTTGTCTCTTTAGTTCAGAATTTCTTCTTTATGGAGTGAAATCTGAGCATGGGTAGTAGTTCACTGGCAAGTTAGAAACAATCTATTACCTACCAAAATTTACTAAAGCATGAAAGCATGGATCTGGAGTACCCAAACCCTGCTCTTTCCAAAGAAAGGAATGGCCCTTGAATAGCTCCTGGGAGACAACCTCTGAGCCCTTACAATATCCTGCTTGATAAGAGCATATCTGGGCTATGCCAGACAGATGATTTATGCTATAAATGTGATTTATGGTAAACACCTATTTTTGTTAGCCAGGGGTCCTGGGATGCACTGTATCAATTTGACCTCTGTAGCAGCTAAGCCTAGTCACACAGTTGCTCCATGACTGTGTGACTCACTCTCAATAAAGAGTCTGGACATCAAGGCTCAGGTGAGTTTCCCTGACCTACTTCACATGTGTTGTTACAAAATGGTGCTGGCAGAATTTAGTGCTGTCTATATGACTCCACTGGAAGCTCACATCTAGTTTCTCCTGGACTTTTCTCTTTGCTGATCTTAATCTGTATCCTTTGACTGTAATAAACCATGAACACAAGCAAAACAGTTTTTCTGGGTTTTGTGAGTCCTAGCAAATCGTCAATCTGAGGATGGTTTTGGTAAACCCTCACAATCCATGGCTTTAGTGTATGTTGGTAAAAACCTAACAGCCTTGGGTTTGTCTCCATGACATCTCTCCTCATCAACTTCAAATGCATGTCATCCAATTTCTTTAATGATCATTATCATACCCTACTATAGTTTTAGTCCTATTCGCAGTTTATATTATGTGATCAGTTATAAACAAGTTAAGGGATAGCAACTATGTCTCTTTAATGCTAATATCCACACCAATAACATGAATAAAATTGGCATATTACAGGCATTTAATAAATATTTAATCTGTAAATGCAACTTCTGGAAATTTTTCCTTAAGTAACAGATAAAAAAGTAGACAAAATTCTATTGCAATGATCTACATCAGCATAGTTTATGATAATTCTAAATATATATGGATAGACAACAGGTTAAAGTGTGGTGAGCTATATGTTAGCAATATCTATGCAGTATTTAACAATGATAACATTGATTCATATTAAATGTTGGGGAAAAACATTTTGATGAATTACTCATCAAACAATCAGATCTTTAAAATAATTGGAGGTTGTGTGCTATCATGATAAAGAACATAAAATCTATCATCCAAAATTCAGTTTGCAAATATTATCTTTGGCTGTTACTGTGTAATCTTTTACTAAGTTACTTAACTGCCTTAATTTCCTCATCAGTAAAACGGAAATAACAATATGACCTACCTCAAAGTGTTGCTGTCTGGACCAAATTAAATAAGACATAAAGCATTTTCAGTGCCATATAAAAAGCACCTAATGGTACCTAATAAAATCTGTCTGCTAATTTATGAAATGGTAAAGAATATTACACATCCCTTGTTTCATTATTTTTTAATAATTCCCTCTATGCTTCACCTTTGTGCTACAGCGAAATTTGAGATTTTCAGGTCTCTTCTTTCCTATAATGTTAACTCCTTTCAGAGTCCAGCCTTGAGATTACAATTTTTCCTCAATAATATTTGTCACAAAGATTCTCAAAAATGAAAGGACATATTTCCTTGACCTCTACACAAAGCTGCAGACATATAACTAGAATCTATCTAATATGTGACAATTTGAGCATAAAAGGCTTAATCTTGTTCCTCTGTCCAACACAGAGAGTTACATGCGTATTTATTTCTGTTTCTATAAAACTGTCCTTTCAAGTGTAATTTGTATAATGAGGTCTTGTATGATACCTGGATTTCCCAGATCATTCCTATGTCCTCTGAAAGAAACCACCACTTCTTAAAAAACCATGAATCTCTGATCAGCAGTCTTAATTCATGATTTGTTCTCCTGGTAATTGTTTATTTGATATCTATGTAATCTCCAAAGCTTTGAAAACTTAGATATGTCAAATCACATGGTGACCATTGGCACTTTCTACTTATTCCTACATGCCTAGAAGTGTGATAAAACTGTGACTTTGTCTCACTTATGTGGCAAATTTATGTAATTCTTTTTGCAAAAACAAAAGAAGAAATACATACCCAGGTTCAAAAATTCTCAACAAAATATTAGCAAACTGAATTCAACAATACATTAAAAGGATCATACACCATGACCAAGTGGGATTTATTCCATGGATGCAAGAATGGTTCACCATCCCCAAAACAATTAATGTGACACATCATATTAACAAAATGAGGGATAAAACACACATGATCATCTCAATAGATGCGTAAAAAGCATCTGACAAAATTACACATCCATTTATGATAAAAATTCTCAGTAAACTGGACATAGAGGGAACATACCTCAGCATAATAAAGGTCATATATAACAAGTCCACAGCAAATATCATACTTAATGGTGAAAAGCTGAAAGTTTTTCCTCCAAGAACAGGAACAAAACAAGGATACCCACTCTTTCATTCAACACAGTATTAGAAGTCTTAGCCAGAGCAATTACATGTTTTAAAAAAGAGAGAACAGAAAAAAGAAATAAAAGACATCTAAATGAGAAAAGAAGCAAAACTGTCACTATTTGCAGATGTGATATTATATACAAGAAAAGCCTAATGATTCCACCAAAAAACTATTATAAGTAATAAACAAATATAATAAAGTTGCAGGGTACAAAATCAATATACAAAAAATCAGTTGTATTTCTATGGACTAATAATGAACACTCAGAAAGAAAAATTAAGAGAACAATCCCGCTTACAAGTGCATCAAAAAGAATAAAATACCTAGGAATAAATTGAACCAAGGAGGTGAAAGACCTGTACACCAAAAAATATAAGACACTGATGAAAGAAAGTGAAGAAGAAATAAATAAATGGAAAGGTATTCCATGTTCATGGATTGGAAGAATTAATGCTACCCAAAACAATCTACAGATTCAGGGTAATCCCTATCAAAATTCCCATCCAATGGCATCTTTCAGAGAAATAGAAAAAACACTCCAAAAATTTGTATGGAATCACAAAAGGCCCCAAATAGCCAAAGAAATTTTGAGAGAGAAAAATAAGGCTGGAGGCATCATGCTTCCTGATTCCAAATTATATTACAAAGCTATAGTAATCAAACCAATGTGGTATTGGTTTTTTTAAAAAAACCACACACAGACAAAGGAACAGAATAGACAGCCCAGAAATAAACTCAAGTACTTATGATCAGTTTATGACAATGGAGCCAAGAATATATAATGTAGTAAGGAAAGTCTCTTCAATAGATAGTGTTGGGAAAATGGACAGCCACATGCAAAAGCATGAAACTAGACCACTATTTTGCACCATATACAAAACTCAAAATGGATTAAAGACTTGAACATAAAACCTGAAAACATAAAACTCCTAGAATATAATACAGTGGGTAAGCAACTTGACATCCGTCTTGGCAGTGATTTTTTTTTTGGATTTAGCACAAAAAAGCAAAAGCAACAAAAGCAAAAAACAAAACAAAACAAACAAGTGGGACTACATCAAACTAAAAAACCATCAGCAAAATGAAAAGGCAACCTTCTAATGGAGAAAATACTTGCAAATCATATTACTGATAAGGGGTTAATATCCAAAACATACAAAGAACTCATACAACTCAATAGCAAAAAAACAAACAACTCGATTTTTTAAATGGGCAGAGGGTTTAAATAGACATTTTTCCAAGGAAAACATAGATTTCCACCAGGTACATGAAAAGGTACTCAACATCATTAATCATCAGGGAAATGCAAATCAAAACCACAATGAAACATCACCTCAACTGTTAGAATGGCTATCATCAAAAAGACAAGAGATAACAAATGCTGGTGAGGATGTGGAGAAAAAGAAATCCTTGTGCACTGTTCGTGGGAATGTAAATTGGTACAGCCACTATGGAAAACAGAATGGAGGTTCCTTTAAAAAATTAAAAACAGAAATACCGTATGATCCTGCAATTCCACTTCTGGGTATTTATCTTAAGGAAACTAAAACACTAACTCAGAAAGACTTATGTACCCCCATGCTCATGCAGCATTATTTACAACAGCAGGCATGGAAACAACCTAAGTGTCCACAGATGGATGAATGGGTAAAGAAAATGTCACACACACACACACACACACACACACACACACACACACAAACACGGAATATTATTCAGCCACTAAAAAAAGAATGAAATCTTGCTGTTTGTGACAACATGGATGAACCCTGAAGGCATTATGCTAAGTGAAATAAGAAAGAGCGAGACAAATACGGTATGATCTTACTTATATGTGGAATCTAAAAAACCAAAAGCCAAAAGACAAACTCCTAGACACTGAAAACAGATAGATGGTTGCCAGAGATGGTGGGTAAGGGGTGGACAAAATGGGTGAAGGTGGTCAAAAGGTACAAACTTTTAGTTATAAAATAAATAAATCATGGGGATCAATGTCCACCATGATGACTATAGTTAATAATACTGTACTGTATATTTGAATGTTGCTAAGAGTGTATCTTAAAAGTTCTTATCACAAAGAAAAAAACAATTCATAATTATGTATAATGATGAATGTTAACTAGATTTATTGTGGTCTTTTTGCAATATATACAAATATTGAATCATTATGTTATTCACTTGAAACTAATACAATGTTATATGTCAAGTATATCTCCAAAAAAACAAAACAAAACAAAACAAAAAAGCCCCACATACCTAGAGAGAAAAATTTTGGAAGAATGTACATTATGTTATTACAAGTGATTATTCTGGATGGTGGAACTATGAGTAATTATTGACTTTATACTTTCCAAGTTCCTTAAAAACTGAATATTTTACAACAAACCTGCATTAATTCCATCATCAGAAATATATGAGAGCTATTTCTGCATAACAGATTTAACAGAGTTGGAGGCAAGTTTTCCTTCTGTTTAATAACATTATGAACAAAAAGATCTTCAAAATGAGTGGGAACATGAAGGAAATTTGTGACTGAAATAAATTACTTCTACAAACTTATGAACATCCTTTAGTTGTATCACACCAGTGCAGCAGGGTACATTCACTATTCACGTACTTGAATTAACAAAATTCAAGATGGTAGCATTTTCAGACTAAATAAGAAAATGTGTGTAAAGAAGGCAGAAATGTGTTTGGTACAGTGTACATGCTTATTACATATGGCTTAATTTTTTAACTTCATTATTCAAAAACTAATATTTTAGATATATAAAATTGCTTACAAATGCAATCTTAGTAAAACAGATTCATATACAATACTGACAATTTGGAATGTTCTTTTTCCTATGTAAAAATACTGTATAATATTACATATTAATCATTTTTCTTTTTATGACTAACTCCATAGTTTCCCTTATCTGCATGGTATTATCATCACATTTACATAATGTGATTAACTTAGTTTTTAAGATTATATACACTTATATAACCCCATGAAGTTACAGACATTCTGCAAACAAAAACAAACATACCAAAAAAAAAAAGTTAGGAACTATATAATAGAATAATTTTGAACAAAATTTCAACAGATTTGTGGTCCTTTGTGAGCACCAAAATGGAATCAAATTGCCTTAGGTTAAGAATTTCTATTTTAGAAAAAAAAAAAAAAACAATTTCTATTTTAGGACTTTTGCAAATCTGGCTGTTAAAAATTCCTTTTAAGTGCTCGTCAAACTTAACTTTATATTTTCAATACTCTTCATTTACAGAAATTTATGAGGAATATTTAGAATCTTCACATAATAACAACTATTTTTTTCTTGAGGACTTATTAAGTACAAGGTACTCATTAAGTGGTCTAGAGCTATGCCCAGATTAATGTATCCAATTCTCGTAAAATCCATAAGGCACTGATGTGATTATTATGTACATTTTATAAAAAGAAATTATAAAACATAGACTAATAACTATTGACCTCCTTGAAATATGACTAGTGTGAACAAAGAACTGAATTTTCAATTTAGTTTTAATTAAAATACAAAAGCAATATAAAATGTTTTTCAATTAAACACAATTTTATTGTTTTGGTGTGAATATATTTCACCTTAACCACTGAAAATTTAGCATCCAAATTGAGAAGTGCCATAACAATAAAATATGCATGAAATTTTGAAAACTTAGTATAAAGATATGAATGTAAAATACTTCAATTTATTTGTTATTATATGTTGAAATAATATTTTAGAGATATTGTTCAAATAAGATGCATTATCAAAATTAATTTCAACTATTTCTTTCTACTTTTTAAAATGTGTTCAATAGAAATTGTAAGATTATCTAAGTGGCTTTCATTATATTTCCATTAGTATTGCTTTAGACTCAAATACCACTATACCACACTGCCTATCACAGTCTACACCAATATGTGGTCTGAAACAAAGTCTACTGCCAAATCTCAAACAAGACTTGGTTGTCACCACTCAAAACTCCCCATGGATTCTCTGGAAAAACTCCCTGCCCTTGTACACACATACCTCTCTTCACGAAACTCCAATCATATACCCACTCTTAAATGTCAAAGTCAACTTTGTCACTTACTGATTGAAATCAAACCACTTCCTATCTTGCTTTGTTTGGAAACCAAACAGATAACTGCTATGTTATTCTACCTAACCTTAACAAAGCATATTTTAAAACAAGCCCTTAATTTATCCTACACGAGCTGTATTTCTGTGCTATCCTTTGGAAAGAAGAGCATGTATGGTAATTGAATGATTTACCCAATGGGTATGGGAATATTAACTGGAAGGGAAAAGGGTATTTGGAAAGGCACTGGAAGAGAAGGGGACCCATCTCTATGGCCCTGTTATTAATTGGGAAGGGAAGTCCTATGAACCAGGAAAATTGATAAGTCACAATTAGGAAGGGAAATTTAAAAGAAGGAAAGCAAATATTCTATGCTCTGTAAAACAAAAATTTATGACAACAAAAAGCAAACATGAACTGACCTTGTATGGGCCATTAAGTTAGTAGCAATGCTCTCCACTTCAGAACTTGCAGAGCTACAGGACCAAGAAGGGACTTGTGAGACTCAAGACTGGCTAAGAGTTGTGGTGAACACACTGTCCACCATCAGACATGACCCATCACCCACCACAAATACAAGTGGATGGAAGTAAGAGTGAAACTAGAGTGCTGACTTTTACCAGTATCAGAGAAAAAGGTAAGCATCACCTATGCCCAGAGCTGGAATCTAAGTTCACAGCAGTTTCTACAGGACACAGCTCCGGGAATGCTGTGGTTCTAAAAGGTGTAAATGGCCTCCATAATGCATCCAAGGGAGTTTAACCCACGAAGGGATTCTACACCTGTGCCCTCCCCCTCATGTCTTCCCAGAAGCCTGACTTGAAGGCAGGTGCAGGCCTAAATGCTAATCCAAGGATTCAGTATGTACTTTTCTATTGGGAACTTTCATTATAGGAGTGAAATTCATGACTTTCACTCTGATGGCCATCCCTCTACAGCTAGACCCAACTGGCTACATGGTGTGAGGACAGAAGAGAATCCAGGGAAACACATTCCAAGAAACGATGGAACCTACAATTGGACCTGGATGGGTAACACTCACTTCACCAATGCCCCCTCTGTGTAAAGTACAAGGCTGGGTACTGGGGACATGGTGTTAATAGCTTATACACACACACGTACAAAAAAATTTTACACACTCCTAGATAAAAAAAACAAAACTCCAAACTTCAACAAGCTCATTGAAAACAAAATTTAAAAACTCCACTTCGTGCACACTTATAGTCAGTCACAACAGAGATGTTACAGGATCACTCGGTCACAGTGTCAGTCAGACACCCTCGTCGCCACGTCCATGTTAACCATGGTCACACAGTAGGCTCCGCCCCCGCTGACAGTCTCACCAACCCAATCAGATACCAGTAACGCCATCCCAGGGCCCCGTCACACGCACTCTAGCCCTCGCTCTCGCGCACGCACAGGCGCGAACTAACAACAACGACGCCGTCACAAACAGTAGCACCCGCAACCATGGTCGTCCGCGGCTCACGCATACACAAGTTCCCTGCTCCACAAGCCCCATCCACGCTCTGGGAGCTTCAGGCCTCCTCACCGCCAGCCCCTCCCGCAGCTTAACCTGGGTCACCTCAACTCACCAGGTATAACCCAATAATGACCACGACACCGGAAGGTGAACCAAAGGTCGAAGGTCATTGGCGGCTCTGGGGCCTGTGGGAAACGTAGTCCAGACTTTCGAGCGGAGCGTGGAGCCCACCAGCTGCAGAGACACTCCCCTCCCCGCCCCGAGACTCCCGGGAATTCCAGGGCGCAATGATCACACGCCTTTGGTGGAGGGGTTGCAGCTGGTTGTCCTTCCAGACGCCGAAGAGCCGGGTGATGGTTCTCTGAGAGCGAGGTGAGGTCGCGGAAGGAAGGAGAGCCCAAGCCGAGGAAGTAATCGCAAACCTGGGCCGGGGAGGGCAGAAAAGGGAACCGGAATCCGGGTGCGGGCCGAGGAGGCAAACGGAAGAATCCTGGCTCGGGTAGGCCTGGCTGAGAATTGGAAGCTCCAGGCCTAGGAGGGAAGAGGGAGTTGGGAACACGGCAGAGGAGGGCCGGGGCGGGAATCGTGAATCTCTGCCGAGGGAGGCTGGGCTAAGAAGGGCTGAAGCCGTGCGGAGGGACTTCGGGCAGGAGAGAGCCCAGGCGAGAAGTTCACTCAGGCCTGTACGTGCGGGACCCCAGGTCCGTGATCGTGAACCAGAGGGTCAAGAGTTTTGTTGCTTTTGTCAGTTTTGCCCCTTGAGAAAGCCCCAACACCCATGGCACATAGCAGACGCGCAGTGAGTGTATGCACGCCCTTGGCGTGTTTAATATCATCACCGCTAGGAAGTTCCCTGGTGTCCTTTTCCTGTTAGTCTCATAGCAGAGACAGCCATGGTTCTGATACATGTCATCGTAGTTTAGCTTTGTCAGTTCTACAATTCCAATTGTCTCCTTTAGCTCATCCTAGTATTGTAAGATTTATTAATGTTGTTTAGTTCATTCCTTTTGTTTCTGGACAGCATTCCATTGTGCAAATGTGCCACAATTTGTGTTTTCATTTTTCTCTGTATGAACATTTAGTGTATTTCCAGGCTTTATGTATTTTGATAACGCTGGCATGTTTCCATTTCTTCTGGGGAGATACCTAGTGGAAGAAAATGCTGATAATAGGTTAAGTTTCTATTTAACTTTCTAAGAAGCTGACAAATCTTGTAGGATGATTAGTTATGATTTCTGTTTGTGACTGTATGTGACTGTGAAGTAAGTGGTTTCTGAGTTTGATTTGGTATTCTTCTATGGAATTAGGAGATGGGCTCAGTGGAGTTAGGAATATCACGTAGAGTCCATGGAATTGTGGTTTTGTGAAGTGGGTGAGATCATAGGAAACAAGGTGTCTGTACCAACTCTTATCATGATTTTGTGTGTTCATTATAATGTGACTGTGAAAGTGGGTCACTACATAAGTGATATTAATGAATGACTGCGAAACTGTGTGTGTGTCTAGTTAGGTGTGTTTCATTTTGGTTCTGCTTGCAGAATTATGACTGTTTCTAATCAAGTAAAATAGCAGTATAAGATTATCCAAAGGAAATGAAAACAGGATATTAAAGAGATACCTGACTCCTTCCTATCTTCACTGCAGCAATATTCACAATAGCCAAGACATAGAAACAGCCTAAGTGTCCACTGACAGATGAACGGATAAAGAAAATGTGTGTGTTTACACCCACACACTCATTCACACACACACTCATTCACACACACACACACACACACACACACACACACACACTCTCTGGAGTATTATTTGGCCTTAAAGAAGGAAATCCCGCCATTTGTGACAACATAGAAGGACACTGAGGGCATTATGCTAAGTGAAATAAGTCAGACAGAGAAAGGCAAATACTATGTTCTCACTGTATGTGGAATCTAAAAAAACCCAAATTCATTGAAATACAGAGTAGAATAATAGTGGTTGCCTGAGGGTGGGAGAAAGGGAGAGATGTTGGTCAAAGGTTATAAGATGAATAAGTTCTGGGGATCTAATGTACAGCATGGTGACTATTATTAATAATACTCTGTATTATATACTTGGAAGTTGTTAAGTGATTAGATCTTAAATGTTATCACCACACACAAAAAAGCATAATTATATGAGGTAACTAACCTTATCATGGTGATCTTTTCCCAATATATACATGTATCAAATCATCACATTGTACACCTTGAACTTAAGTATGTTACTTTAAAAAAAAAGAATTGGAAAGTAGGAGGTAAAATCAATTTCTAGATGACTGGATTGTATACTTTGAACACCATCTGAACTAATTCTAATATGTTGAAATGACTAGGGTTCAATAAGTAGTTCACAAGAAAATACTTTTTTTACCTCTATGTACTACTTTTAACAGATTTGAGTGAGTTTTTTTTCCCTGTTCCTGGATGAAATTATGGGTAATTTAATAACTTTTTCAGTCACTCTAAGCTAAGGAAAAGTATCTGAAATACTTCAAATCACAAGGTCAGTCTCATAGCAATTAAATTAGTCATTTTCTAATAAAAATGTTTACTGTGAAAATCAATATTTAAAGGAAAAATTTCTTCCATCTGACTGAAACCTGCAGTGTGGAAAAGTACATAATCAGTTTCTTCCTATTTCCCTAACCTATATTACTGAATAGTTAATATTTAGCATAATGAATATTAATATTTAATAGTAACTGTTTACTATGTAAGTAGGCAGATTTAATCAAGTTGTTATGGAAACTCTAAGGTAAGTGCAGTTTCACATGGTTTCTTATGCCTCCCTTCTCTCTTCATTTTTCTAAAAAAGAATCGAAAGGAGCAAAGGTCCTTTCTTGCAAATCTTAAAGCCATGGCTCCGATTAGATGATATTTCTGTTCTCCTTTCTGCAATAGTCTTTTTCCCCTAGCATATATGAGCAGTTTCCCATTTTGAAACTTCCTGGAGATAGGATTCCCTTTCATGGAACTGGTCCACATTTCCTTTTATTCTCTCCAGATAAACCTGTACCTTATCCAACATCTTCTTCTAATTTTAACTAACGTTTACTTACTAATTGCATGTTTCGCTCAGCATCTCCTTTCTCATGCCCACAAATGGAAATACATTCTCTTGAATTAAATAAGCATATATTCCTTGAATGAACCTTTCTTGTCTAGACAGTAATTTGATGTCTAAGTATTGAGTGCTTAGGAGAGCCCATACAAGAAGAAGACTTTATTATGTCCACAAACCTTGGTTTTCTAGTGAGTAAAGATAGACGTAAAATCAATAGATTATAATATCTATAATATGGCAATAGATTATAATATGGCAAGAAGGGAGGTCCCCATGTTACACTGTGTCCTTTCTTCCATCTCCAGCTCACCCTTATGGATCATGTTTCTCCCTCTCTCCCTTGTAGTCATATCCCAGGAGTGCTTTTTCCCATTTACACGTCTCCATTCTGTAACAAGCACCAAAGGTATGGAAGTAATCTACGGTTAAAAGAGCAGATCGAAAAGCCTACTTTCTATACACAGTAAAGCACTGGAGAAGAGAGAGGTCAAGAGAAGCAGGTCCTTGGTGACAGGAGCCTAGGAATAGGCTCCTCTAGGTAAGAGGCAAGAACAAAGTATAGTAGAAATTTTTATTTTTTTTAATTTATTTTTTTAAATTTATTTTTGGCTGTGTTGGGTCTTTGTTGCTGCGCACAGGCTTTCTCTAGTTGCAGTGAGTGGGGACTACTCTTAGTTGCAGTGTGCGGGCTTCTCATTGCAGTGGCTTCTCTTGTTGCAGATCACGGGCTCTAGGTGCGCAGGCTTCAGTAGTTGTGGCACATGGGCTCAGTAGTTGTGGCTCGTGGGCTCTAGAGCACAGGCTCAGTAGTTGTGGCACACAAGCTTAGTTGTTCCACAGCATGTGGGATCTTCCTGGACCAGGGATCAAACCCATGTCCCCTGCATTGGCAGGTGGATTCTTAACCACTGTGCCACCAGGGAAGTCCCAGAAATTTTTTTAAAAGAGAGACATAACAAGTGGATGCCTGTCCCTACTCCCCCATAAACACAGAGAAATGCCATCTAAACTATGACAGGATGTCTTAAAAATGGTCAAGTTCAAAAGAAAAGAAAAGGAAAAAGGGAAATTCTGTATCCAGAAACAAAGAGATGAATCACAACAGTAATTGTAAAGGTAACTTTGAGCTGACACCTCATAGAGATCTTTGATCCCATATATAATGCTTAAGAGTACTAACTGGGGTCTGAGGTTCTAATTTCTACACAGGAACAGGGGGCAGAGAGCTGGAACTAAGACCCTGCTTAGTCCTATAAAATATTTCTAGAAAAATACTACTCACTGGCCCAAAGAGATGAGGGAGCTTGCAATCTCTGAGACTTTTTTAGGGGATTGGGGGCAAAAAATACAAATACTGTATTACTCCACTTATATGAAGTATCTAGAGTAGTCAGACATATAGAAATAGATAGCAGGATGGTGGTTGCCAGGGGCTGGGGAAGAGGAAATGGAGAGTTATTGTTTAATGGATACAGTTTCAGTTTTGCAAGATGAAAAGTTCTAGAGCCTGGTTGCATAACAATGTGAATATACTTAACAGTATTGATCTATACACTTTAAAATGCTTAAGATGGTAAATTGTATGTTATGTGTGTTTTACAACACTTTTTAAAAATGAATAAAGGCTGAAAGAAACTAGAAAAAGACAACCCAAAAAACAAAACCCAAAATAAGTAGAAGGAATAAAAATAGGCAGAAGTCAATGAAGTAGAAAGCAGACAATAGAGAAAATGAATAAAACCAAAAGTTGTTTATTTGGAAAGAGTTTTAAAATTTATAAATCCATATTAAGAATAGTTAATAGAGCTTCCCTGGTAACGCAGTGGTTGAGAGTCTGCCTGCCGATGCGGGGAACATGGGTTCATGCCCCGGTCCAGGAAGATCCCACATGCCGTGGAGTGGCTGGGCCCGTGAGCCATGGCTGCTGAGCCTGCGCGTCCGGAGCCTGTGCTCCACAATGGGAGAGGCCACAACGGTGAGAGGCCTGCATCCCTCAAAAAAAAAAAAAAGAAAAGAAAAAACATAAATTACCCATGTCAGAAATGAAAATGGAGATATCACTACAGATCCCACAGATAGCAAAAAA